GGCGGGCACTAAAGTTTTCTGGTCTGTCCCCCTACTCTCACCTCCTACCAGCTCATCAAATCTTAAAGGGAAAGAGGATTTCATTCAATAACTATTTACAGTGGGATTGGGTTCCCAAATGAGCATGTCAGGCCAAACTCTTATATGGTCCGAACTATACTAGAAAATCTTTTCAGTTGCCCATAAATTATGGTAGTCTATTCTCTCTTAGCCTGATAGCCAATTTTGCCTCTGGCGTTGGAGGGGATCACCATGTCTTCAGTTGACACCAGAAGAAGTAGTTGCCTTGTGTTTAGAGTCTGTGATGCAGAATCACGCTCGAGAAAATCATTCACATTTTCAGAGGGGCCCAGCGAATGAGGATCAGCAGCCTCGTGTTTCTCATCTGTCGCTCACCCAGGGTCACTTTGTGGGAGGCACAGTCTCCAGGACTCCGTGTGTTCTTCTTCCCTCTTTCCCTCCCTCCCTGAGCAAATACATATTACCTCTCCTGGGAGCCAGTCACTGCGCCAGGCCCAGGGGACACAAAGAGAAGGCACTGTCCTCACTCTTGAAGAGTCCACAGCCTAGTGAGGTTCACAGCCAAGAACCAAAATTTATCTTACAGGATGAAATATGAAGAGAGACGTGCCAAATGGTACAGGTACCTGGAGCTGGCAACGACCAATGAGTGGGGGAGCGGGGGAAGGCTGCACTGAAGGGGTGACATTTGACCTGGGTCTCAGGGTTGAATGTGACTTCACTAGGTCCAGAAGAGGGGGAAAGCCCTGAGCATATCCCAGTCACAGCAAGAGACGGGAGAAAGAGGAAAGAAGGCAGAAGGTGAGGATGGAAAATAAGTTGGGGGCCAAACTTTCCTTTGTACTGCCATATTCTATGAGAAAAATAGTGCAAGACCTAAACAGTGCCCTCCACTCTGTGCACCAGCCAGAGGAACAAAGAGTCTTGAGTCTCCTGTCCTCTTTGTATGCAGGAGGTTCCCATGAATAAAAGAAAAAGACCAAATTAAAGGTGTCTATTCCAGACCTGCCTCCCAGTGAAGCCACCTCTGGACAGAGTAACCGGCAAGCTGAGGTCAGTCTTGCGGTATCCCATCCCTTTGCCAGATCGCTGCTCCTTTTCAGCGACCTTGGCTGCGGGTAAGAAACACAGCACTGGTCTTGACCTTTGAAAACACAGGAAGCGTCCATTTTTATTCTTACTCCCTTAACTGGACACCTTTTACACCTAGACCCCAGCAACTGCCCCATTAAGAGTGCGAGTCTCATATACATTTCATGATGCGGGAACTTAATCTAGACGAGTATGTGATCTCCAACCAGCAGTGATTTGGCAAGCTCCCAGGAGGAAAAGAAATCTGTATGCTAAGTTAAGGCTAATTGTTCCCGTATTATTTTACACTTCCTTATTACATGAGCAGTAAGCAAGCGTGCTTGAGGCAAGATACAGCATGAGTTAAAGTGAGTGTTAAAACAAAGCAGGCTTGTTCCATTTACAAGAAAGGTGAAAGCCATGGTTTGACAGAGAGAAGGCAGTAATCAGCTGGCAAGCTGTTTTCTAAGTCTAAGAACGTCACGGAGAACTCTAGTAACATCACTACAGTCATGCATCAATTACCAACAAGGACACATTCTGAGAAATGTGTCATTAGGCGATTTCGTCATTGTGCAAACATCATAGAGTGTACTTACAAAACCCAGATGGTGTAGCCTACTACACACTTAGGCTCTATGGTGCTAATCATACGGGACCACCATCATATATGTGGTCTGTCGTTGATGGAAACGTGGTTATGTGGTGCATGACTGCACCGTAAAACCAAGCCTTCACTCTTCTTAATTCTCACAGTTGAGTAGAGGTCAATTGATGTAAAAAATTTTCTGTTAGGGAAAATTTATAAATTCCTAGGAAAAATGTTTGAGAATGTTAAATCTTTGGGAAATATACAGAAAGAGTAAGGGAAGAGTGAGTCAAAATGCTACCCCCTCCTAATAGTTTTTAAACACAATTCAGGAAGACATTTCAAAGTAAAGTGTTTAACACATCTGGTTCTTATTTGAAATATAATTAGGAATGTATCTTAAAATATAAGGAATTTTAGAAGCTGAGAGGCAGTACATTTCTGAGCCACCAAATGTTTTCAGTGATGTCATAATTGTGGCATGAAGAGGAATACCGAAGACTTTTTAGGAATACTTTGAGAGATTTTCTATTTATTGTTGTTTTATCATTTTTATGAAAAGTTATTTACAAATGAAATAAGAAGGAAGAGAATGAGACCTTATCAAACATAATTAGGAATCAAGAGATTCCTAAACCTAAATAGTATAAATAGAAAAGGTGGTTGATAAGATAAGGTTTCAAAATGCTAATCAATTATAAAACAAATGTTTTGCTACTTTTTCTTTCCATTCTCTACCTTTTCCCACTCTTGTTTGTTTTTATTTGGTCCACTCTCCACTCTGGGACTAATAAAGAAAAAGGAGCATGTATTTGATTAGAGAACAAGAAAAGGAAGTAAATGGCCGCGGCCTGGCTCCTCGCCTCAGCTCACTCAGCTGACCCTCCTTGGCCAACTTGTAAAGTCCTGACATCCAGGCCGGTTGCATTAGAATCTCTGGGGGTCAGACTGAGCTATCAGTTTGCTTTTTTTTTTAACTCCCCAGGTGACACTGATGAGTAGCCAAGGCTGGGAACCACGTCCTCCAATCTATAACATCACTAGGGAGAGACTCCGGTGATCTGCAGGCCGGTGACCAAGTATTTCCATACTTTTGTATTCACAGACCAGGAACGTTGCAAAAAGCACTTGAAGGAGCAATATATATTTTCATTTGTCAAGAGTAAAAATAACAATTACCATTTACTATCATGATCAAGGACATTTTAACGTCAAAATAGCAGAAAGAACATAATCTCAGAGTATTACAAATCTGATTACATATGTGTATATGAACATACCTATGTATACACATATATATGTATGTATACATATACATATGTATTTCATCATATGTCTCTTTCCCTTTTACTGAGAAAATGTCTTGGACTGCCTGGCTTTGGAACAACTTGGATCCCATCTGCAATGCTCTTTCCAAGAAGCTGACACTAATTGGGCATTTACTATAGGCCAACCACTTGTCTAATTGGTTTACATAAATTCAATCATTCAATTTTCACAACGCTAAAAACTAGGCACTGTTACTATGTTCATTTTTCAGACAAGGAAACAAATCACAGGGTAGTTAAGCCATTTGCTCCAGGCCACACTGTAAGTCTCTTTGAGGCCAGGCAATCTGATTTCAGACCCCCACAGTCTTAACCACTACCGCACAAGTAGCTGTATGTTCATGTATTACATTGTTCAGTGAACACTTATTAAGCACCTACTATGTGCTAGGCACTGTGATGAACCCCAGGGATGCAGAGATTAAGGGGGGTAAAACCTAGGCCTTTGGTCCCTAGGTGGTGTGGGGGACACACTTATTCCCCACTCCTCATGTTTCCACAGAAGGGGAGTTTCCACCTCACATCCCAGGAAGGAAATGAAAGAGGAACCCAGCCGGCTTCTCTCTGTCCCCCTACTCACTACTAGGAGTGGCTCATGATGGTTTCTCGGGTGATCCGTGATTCGGAAGAAGGATCCCAGTAAGTCAAGCAGTGAGTTTCCTGGCCAGGGTCTGCTCCTGGGGAGGGAGGGGTTTCCAGTGGTCCCAGGCTGCCCATGACCATGGGGGACGTCTGGCTAATTCACTGCTATCCTGGAAGTCCTATTGGCCACTCAGCTGCTGAGAAGCCTGTCCAAAAGCCCAGGACCTGCCACAACTGGGCTTGTTGTCACTGGCCACGACACCTGGGAATGATCAAGGATTTGTCTCCCTGTGAAAAATGGTTAGCAAGTAGAACTTAGTTTGTACTGGGGGGATCTGCATCCACAAAGAGTTCCAAATGCCAAGGGTCTTGTGTATAGAGTGCAAGTGCCCACAAAGGTAAACCAGCGGGCTAGGGAGTCTGGAGAAGGGATTCCCAACCCAATTTGGGGTATGTGGTGTATAAACTGAATCCTGGAGGACCACAGGCATTGTAGACTCTGAGGAGTGTGGTACGGGTGGTAAGACACCCCAGGCAGGGGTGAGAGCAAATGCAGGGGCAGGAGAGGACACGGCATGCCGTTCAGAATGACGGGAGCACAGAGCATCCACCTGTGGTACAGACAGGTAGGATGTAAGGCTGGAGAGATAGTCAAGGATGGACTCATGAAAAGCCTTGAATGCCATGCCAAGGCCTTTTATATTTCACCCTGAAGGCAAGGAGGAATTCCTGAAGGATTTTCAGCAGGGAGTGATATGATCACTTTTACTTTTCATTAAGATGTCTCCGCCAATAATGTGAAGAACGGGGGGCGGGAGGATCTGTTGGGAGGCTGGGACAGTGGCCAGGCAAAAGATGAGGTCTTGAAATAAGGAAGTGGCTGTGGGGATGCAGAGGAGAGAGAGATTACAGAGACGTCAGTGGATCGCAGTGACCGATCTGTTTTGGGGATGAGGGGCAAAGAAGTCTGGCTTCTGGTTTAGTGACTAAGTGTATGTTGATGCTGCTCCCCAGGTGGGGAGTATAAGGAAATCAGGGAGAGGATGCTTGTTCAGCTGTGGCCAGGTGCATTTCGAGGTGCCCATGATGGGAGCTCTTGTCATGCTCTATGGCTGGACCCTCCCACGGTTCACTGCACTGGACCCGATTCTGCCACCACGCCACGAGACAGCCCTACGATTGCCAGGGACACCCATAAGATTGCAGTGGCCGTCTGTCTCACGGTGTGGAATCCATTTTGTTTCTTTCACTTGCTCTGGGCACTGGCAGAGCATCAGCTGAGGCTCTAAAGCCTGGTTCTGGCTTGTTTCCCCTGGGAATCACCCTCCTGCACTTCATTCTGCCTCCCAAGTCACTCCCACCATGCTCCACAGTAACTGGTTCCACCAGTTTTTCTGAGCATTCTTCTCCCTCCGCCACTCCAGCTGAAAGCTGTCTTGATCAAATCACCTACCCTCCAGGCACACATGGTCTTCCCCTTCCTTGTGCAAGGCACCCCATCCCAGCCGGGAAGCCACCATCCCGCTATCTGAAATCGTGCTCCCAGCTGGTTTATCTTTGTGGACCTATTTGGGGTCAGTTCTGCCTGGGGCTGGCGAGTGTGGATTAAACATCTCAGTGGATCTGCTCTGTTCTGAGGTCTGCCCTGACAGAAGGCACGCTCTGGTCTTTGAACAGGAATTTAAGGTGAGTGGGGCTATTGTGGGGTCAGCAGAAGGGCTTGGGGCTACACCAGCATGGAGGCAGAGCAATTCTAAGCATCCCCCTACTGCCCCTGGCTCGGACCCAAGTTTGACCAAGAATTCTCTGTATTGTCCCGGCTCTCCATCTCCCCTCTCCCCACTCCAAGACTGGGCTGGACTTGTGAGATGGCTGGATTCTGGGCCAATCTGAAGATTACAGAAACAGCTAATTGTAGTAGACAATCAGAAAAGCTAAGTTTAGGACTGAATTAGATCTCGAGTTTCCTTCTGGACCGTGTAGCTCAGAGGACTTGCCTATCAAACGTGGTTGAGCGGTGTTGACCGGGGCCAGCACAGAGAGATTGGCAGCCCCAGGACGGTCTTCTGGGAGCGTGGCCACCCAGCTCGTCCAGCTATAACTGCATACTTTCCCATCCAGGAGGCTTCATTTTGATGTGAATTGGAGTTCAAACTTGGCTCGATTGTAGACTGAGCTCTGAGAATGAAACGGCGTCGCCACACAAAGGCCGTCACAGAGAACCCAGACAAACACAAGAGATTGCTACCAAAACACAAAAAGACCCCTCTCTGCCACTGCTGCACCGATGAGGCAGGTAAGGCCAGCCCAGCCAAGGGAATAGCCCAGTGTAGTAACGTCTAACTCCCACCGTCTTTTCCTCTGCTCCTCTCCGGGTTGGCAATGTCATGGGAAGACTTCCACATCAAGAGCCAGGAAATCTCAGTCCCTGTTCTTACTCTGCACCTTACCCCCAGGGCCACTTGACTTCTTTGGGCTTCAGTTTTCTGGTCTAAAAATATCAGATTAAAAAAGAGATTAAAGGAGATTACGTGAGAAAACATCTGGAAACTCTTGTATTCAGTACAAAACAGTAAAATTAGAATTTACTCTAAAGGCTGCTTCAAAGCACGGCTGACCTTTCACGTACTAATTTAAGTGTTTCCTTTTTGATTATTCATTCAGCAAGCAGTTATCCACGTCATCATGGTGTTAAGGTGTCATCTTGTTAGCTGAGTTTGTCTGTGTTTTTCTCTCTCTGGTGTTTTTTGTGGCCCCGGATCCAATCAGACAACAGCAAGAGGCTCTGTTTTCACTGCCCCCACGTTTGAGAGGTTAGGGCGAAAATGTAGAGAGAACAAGTAGAGCCATCTCAGCTTTTGGATTTCAAAATAGACCTGGAGTCTCACAGCAGAGGATAAAACAGGAAGTAGCAGTCCTGTAAGGACCCACTAACAGACCCGTTCATCTCAGTCAGTGCCGATGCTGGGAGATGACGTGATCAGAGAGCTGGGGGGAGAGGGAGCATCTTGGCAGGTGCCAGAATGGGGAGATGATGACAACCGGGGATCTGATCCCTTGAAAATGTGGCATGTGAGCCCTCTGGAACTTAGGCCTCCCCCCAGATGCATGGGCAGGGAGGGAAAACTCTGAGTCAATCAAGAAAATCCCCACTGGGTTTACTTTGGAGTAACTAAGTTTTTACCACTGTGTCTGGGGCAGTGTGCCTCACTTAGATTATAAATATCTTCATTCATATATTCATTCAATAAATATTTCAATTCCTTCCCATATACCAGGAACTCTGCTAGCAACTTAATGGCGAAAAGAAAAGAAAAATGATGGTTTTTGCCATAATGAGCTTCACCATCTAGTGGTAGAGACAGACAGAATTTAAGAATCACAGAAATAAATGTTAAATGACAACTGTTGCCTCAATTTAAAAAAATGACAGCTGTGGTGCCTGGTATCTGGGAGAGGCACCTGGTGCTTTGAGAGTTCATAACCCTAGCCAGGGAGGTCACTTGAGGAGGTTAAGACTGGGCTGAATGGGAAGATAGATGAGGTGTTAATCAGGTGAAAACAGAGGGAGGGAGGATGGGTAGGGGACAGGGAATTTCAGGCAAAGAATGGCATGTGCAAAGGCCCTATGGTCTGAGGCAGCATGGTACATTAGAAGGACTGAAAGTGACCAGAACGGACGTGCTGAGAATAATGGGGAGTGTGGCACAGGATGAGGCTGGACCTGGGAGGCCACGATAAGGATTAGAATCTCTATCCTTAGGGAAAAGAAGGTTTTAAGCAGGACAATAGGCTACAAGGGGATTGTGCCACCCCTGGAGCTGATTTTTAATAGGCACACAAGTCATTCTGGGGGGTGGGGGGTTATGGCTTTTAATTAGAATTAGACTCAGAAGAAGTTTCCTCTGAATTCTGCCTCTGATTACTTTCACCACTCTCCACTCTGAGATGCCCACCTTTTCCTTTTGCTTCCCCTGGAAAGTTGTGGGTTCATAATGGGTCATCCACACACTGTGGATTTAGCCAGTGACTGCATAAAGTTATTTCTCTTGTAGAAATTTCTAGGTGTCTGCTACATGCAAGTAAGGCTGGTTATGAGTACACACTGAGTCAGGGGACATCCCTTTCTTCTGCCTGCCCAGCAGCCAATTCCCCCTTCTGATAATAGCTCCTTGGTTGTCTTTTAGGGAAGCACATTTTGCCACATTCCATCTGAGAATGGGTGGAGTTCATTCCATTTCACCCCTGTTCTCTGCTGCTCCCAGCTCCAGGAATGAGCATAATCCCTCAGGCTCATGAACATATTCCGTCTGATCACGACTGGCTCTGGGATAGCACAAGAGTCAACTTGGTCCACCGAGCCTCATTCCTAAGCCTCTTCTGAAATGACAGGGAGGAGGAGCCCCTGTTCCCTGGGATTGCCCTGCTGAGGATGTGGTCCCAAGGCTGCAACAGGCCACCGTGCAGAGATGCTCTGGCTGAGAGTGAAGGCAATGCATGAGGAACTTGAACTGAGAATGGAAGAGAGCAAGAGAGACACCAAGGTCCAGCAGCATCACTTGGAGCCTGAACTTTGTAGTTCTAAGGAGGCAGTTACTGAGTAGCGTCCCTGCTAATTTGAGCTGGCCCTGTTACCAGTGGCCCAGAGGCCTATGGAACATGCCCAATTCAGGCCTTGCTAACATGTAGTCATCCTTTTACGGTCACTAGGTTGCCTCCATCATGCAGTTGAGTCCTCGTTGATACTCCCCAGGCTGTACCTTGCTTTTACACGAAATCCAAACTAGAGCCTTATTTCCCATCCTCCAAAGTCCTTTCTGCTTTACTCCCTGGCTCAGATTGACCCCCACTCCTTTATACCATCAACTAGCTGGTCTTTTTCCAGCAGAAAGCGTAGATCACTAGGTTAATCCCAAGAATTATTTCTCAGCTCTCTTCAACTGGAGTCATTCTACAGAGACTGAGATAGGCAACTTCAGGATCCATCAGCACTGGTCTCCTCCTCGAGTTCTCAAGCCCTAATCTTTACCTCACTTCCTTCTTCCTCTTCTCGTATGTGGTTCCTGGCTAGCTCCCATCGGCTGGTGTGTTCCCCTCCCTGATCTTCATTTGCCCTTTCTCCATCTGCTTCTCCCACGCACCACTGAGCATCTTAAATTCCTCTGCATTCTGATTTCCATCTTCATCCATATTTTAGGCCCTGGGTCTCTCTCACTGTCTTTAATATATCTCCCAAGTACTGTCATTATCTTCAAAGTCACAGCTCTCAAACTCACCTTTCCAGACACGTGCCCTCACCTTTTGGTTTACAACAGAACAAACTGAAGGTGCCACTGAAAGTGCAGAGAAGCATTTTTAGAGTTGGGAGGCAGCACAGACAGCATTTATTCTATCCTCTCACATGATAGGTAATGAATTGGAGACCGGAGAGGTTGTTATTTGTCCAAATTACATAGATGGTTACTTGACAATTGATTAATTGTCCAAAAAAGATGTGGGGAAGCATCACCTGGCTACTCTCGTTGTTTGGCATTATTGAAATACCGAAACCCATGGTGCCCGTTCATGAAACAACCACCAAAAAGAGAAGGGCTTGCCCCTCCGGTGTTGACTCTGTCGTCCGAGTTAGCTTACGGGAAAGGCGGTGACTAATTTAGAATTGGGAAAGATGACAGTAGTGGAAACCTTGAGTACTTAAGATTAGGTTGAAAGAGCAGTATGATCAAGCAGAAGGACAGAAACCCTTCTTTGTTGCTGAATAGGTCTGAGTGAGGCATTTCTGCAGCGTGTGCACATAACTTCCTTTATCGAATTGAAACTCCCATTCAGTGATCCCTTGGTGTCCCCGGGACTCCTGATGACCTTAAGAAAAGAAAAGCTGAAATGAGCCCTCAGGCTAATGTTGAAGCAGCCACTGGGATGACGGAGGCAGCGGATCCTGCCAGCATCACAAAGTCAGAACTTGAGTTGAGCTTTCCAAAGGTTCCCTCTTCCCCCAGACTCCTACTGCCACCCCCACCGTCCATGCACATATTCTCAACCTCCTTGTTCTCACCCCAGATAAAGGATCTAAACAAAAAATAAGAAAAGAGAACCACATGGTGAGAAGGGGGGAGGTATAGGACATGAGAAGAGCAAGGAAGGAGGGATAGAAACGGAGACAGGAAGAGAAAGAAAATAGAGGAATGTCATTTAAACTCTACATAGATACTGCTGTAAATAATTTTAATGCAGCTATTACCTTTTACTAAGGGGAGATTGTTCCCCTCTTGGTAAAAAAGGATGAAAATATAAAATAATAATAAAAATGATAGTTGTCTCAATTGAGTGATAGCTGCCCTGCACTGTACATATATACTTAGCTTTGAGAGAAATGTAGATAAATGTGGGGATTATAAAATTCAACTATTACAAAGATTCTAAATGCCTTAAGAGACAAGGTCAGCAAAAAAAAAAAAAAATTCTTGACGGAGGTAAAGCGATATTTCCTCATGGGGATGAGCGTGCAAGTGGGTGCACGTGCACACACACACCCACTATGTATATAAGCTGAACTGTGTATTAGAGTGATTTACTTGTTTGAGTAATTTGAAGGTAAACTTGCAGGACTCCCTGAAGTAATACGCAAAATCTGAGTTGAGGACGAGCGGAAATCTAGAACCATTTCTCTTTAGCTATTTAGCACAACCTCTGGTACGCTTAAATTCTATTGCTTTCCAAAGATAATGAAGGTGAGGCGATCTCTTCCTCCACAGAGGCTGGAGTCCTCTGATTCAGTTTCCCTTTTTAGTTGCCTTTGATGTGCCTGTGTCTTAATTCCCCAGTGACATCGCCAGCTCCTTTTCTCCATCCTTGCATCCTCACAGACCCTGCTCTGGGGCCTTGGGTAGGAAAGGAGCAATAAACACTGCTTGTGGGCTGACTGCCAGCTGGGCCAGGCCATTTCCTTCAAAACCAGGAGGATGACTTGTCTTGGCAGCTTATACCTTGAGGATAAAAGATAAGACAGAGACTGATTTAAAATGTAGGTCTGCCTCTCCCAGCAGACCAAGGTGGGGCAAAATGTGCTGACCTGGCCTGAGAGAGTCCAGTCATGTGGTCAGACAGCAGAGAGGCCCATTCTGCCTTGACTCATGCAGGCCTGGCTGTCTTCTCCTTTGAAAAGAGAGCAGAGCCCCTGCTGAGGGTTTGAAAATCAGACATGATTTTTCAATTGGATCAGTCACCTCAGATTCCTATCGCTTGCTTCTCTCTCTGTCTCTCTCCATGTACAGTGAGCTTATTTGAGGCATGTAA